CCACTAGCGGCGGAGTTATGCCGTAACACACATAAAAAAAAACATACAGACGAATTGAGTACCTCCTTATTTTGGGAAGTCGGTCAAAAACTTGATTGTATATTGATTTTAGTACGATTTATTTACGCAGTGAATAAAAACTGTGACTGTTAATGATATTCATACTAATGTAATAACTGCAAAAATTTAAATGGATGGATGAATGCTACTAAGTACATATCTAAGACGGCTCTTCAGATCTCGCTGAAATTTGGCATAGATATAGAACATAGTCTGGTAGAACAAATAAACCTATGTGTCTATCTAAAAGTTTTTGTTTTAATTCCGTGCGGACGGGATCGCGGGTGAAACTTAGTGGGCTATATGTTGCTTGAAACATGTGTAAAATTATACTTTAAGACTAGTTTTAAAGACACAATAAAGAAACATTAATCTTTGCGGTTTCTTTTATTTGTTAAAAAAATTAAACCAGTATGAAACCAAATACTATAGATAAATCAGGATCGATATACGTATAACCTTAACTTATATTTGAATTCTCAGCTTAGTTCCTTGATTGTTTTTCACGCAAAAGACTCAAAACGTTTTACTTTACGCGTGCTTTGTAGTCGTTTACAACGGATTTAATGTTTTGATTTAATCTTACAGTCCTAAATATTATCACGCAAACCTTGTAATGTTATTATAAACAGGACAATAACGAAAAAAAAATCAGCCAGCATGATTCGAACTCGGTTGTTTACAAATTTTTAGAATTTCAATTTTCACGTCCACTATAGGTAGTTTTGTACACTTACATTCCGGGGAAGAAGTCGAATGAAATGTCACCCCCTTCGTCAAAATCGATTCACTCGGCTCGAGGCAGTTACATTAGAATTTACATACAAACAAACCCACCTACATAAAATTTAACTAACATACGTGTGATGTGAAAAAAGTCTATTAGTCGGGTAAAAGGGTTAACTCCTCTAGTAAATAAGTATTGAATGTTTTCAGTGTTATCCAAAAGTTTCTTTGGTTCGTTTAAAGAATAAAACATTTAGTATTGTTATTAGATCATTAATGAATACCTAACAGTGACAAAATGGCTAACTTTAATAGTCTTTTAGCTGGGGAATCGATCCATTGACCCAAATATTTCACCCTGCAACCGACAGTCTGTTTTGCAGGTTCATAAAGGTAGGTTTATACGATTCGATTCAGATATTGCATTTAAAAAGATTACCAGGTTTTTAGTAAATTAAATGTATTAATTTTGTTTATTAAAGTTGGTATCTATAAGCCATTATACACATAATCTCAATTAACTTCCTGTAGATTAAAAATATTTCTTTGCAATAAAATTTAAAAAGAAGATAAAAGTAACAGTAGTTTATTCAGTTCCAGTTTCTTCTTATTTCATTTATTTTTCTCTAAATTATGGCTCAGTTTCTATCATGCCTGTATCACAATAGGTTATAGAACTATTTCCTTCCTTTATAATTATGTATAACGAATTATTATAGACCATTATCGTAATGAAATCATATTAATGTGTCCATCTAGATTTATCTTAAACTAGTTTTGTATGAAACAGCTTAGTCACCAGAACGACGGGAGTTCATTGTTAATATGCGTGAGAGATGAAGCAGATTTCAACGGATTTGACGGCTAGACAAAACATACGAACGTGGGTTACCACTGCACGAATAAAATATACCTTCATCTATTATTCTCTTCAAACAAAACAATACATTCCACAACTGTTTCGACAGTGGAAGTCAACGATAAACTTTATTACAGTCTCTCAATAAGATTTAAGGGAACATTTAACTTTTACCGATTACACGATTGGATAAGATACGAAATGAGTATATTAGAGGAAGTTTGAGAGTAGCCCCAGTGGTTGAGAAAATAAGGAGTAAAAGGTTAGATTGGTATGGGCATGTTATGAGAAGGGATGAATCGCATGTGACAAGAAGGATGTTAGTTATGAATGTGGAGGGGTACATCGGTAGAGGTAGACCTAGAAAGAGATGGATGGATTGCGTGAAAGGTGACATGATCAAGAAGGGAGTGATGACTGAGATGACGGATGATAGAATGCTTTGGAGGACGAAAACCCGGTGCGCCGACCCTACGGGAGTAGGATAAGGCAGGGGAGATGATGATGATTTAACTTTTACCGATTTATCAAGGTGTATACTAACCGACGTTACAGGTGTAATGCACGGCGAACATTCATACAGTCAGCGGTGTCGCTTGATGCGAGTTACGCGTAACATTACCCCGCTTAACGATGGTTACGCACCTTAAAGCGGGAAATTAAATACAGTAAAAGGTACGTTTAAACGACAGGATGTGAAACTAAGCACTTATCACGGCTAACTGTAAAGTTACGTAGTCGATTAGGGACGCTCTAGAAATTATAAAGGACCATATACCAAGAAAACTACACTATAAAAGGGTAAAACATACATACTTCTTTTACAATTAAAATAGTAAACTGTTACTAATATTGTACTTTATACACGTAATATCTAAGGACTGATTAAGTAAGCAGAATTTGCGACAGTTAATAACCAAAAAAGCGAGTTTTTAGTGTAGAATGAAATTGTGAAGATCGATTTCACAAAATTGTACTACAGTTAACGTTAGAGGGTTTTTAAAAGAAGTCTTTGTCTTGGCGTTGGATCAATATCTTTCCGTGCCGGTACGGTGAAGACAACGAGTACGACCTATTGCGTGACGCGACATAGATTTATATTCCTTTCTTTACACTGCCATTCCTTCGACGATAATTACAAATAGATCTTTTAATTAAAATAATTAAATTAAATTCCAGCAGACGATTTTATAACGCGCGCGTAAAAAAAGTGTTCATGTGTTTTTAACGCGACGGTTTTTTATCGCGCAGTGTTACGTTTGAACTGCTGAACGAACGAAACAATAGTGATTATAAAAAGTTCGTTAAAGTGAGAAAGAGTATACAAAACGCGCCAACGCCGAGCGTTAAAAAACGCCAGTGAAAAAGACCTTACTCAGTCTCAATCACGGTGTTATAGAAAGTCCGTACAAATGAAGTAAATCAACTATTTATGTTGATTTTTATCTTTTCTAATCGGTTCTAAAAAACATATTAAAAAGGACTATCTGTATCTTTGAACCCATTGTAATGATACTTTTTATTGATTTTTAATAATACTAAGGATGTTTTATTTTTATTATATTTAGAGAGTGAGAGGGAGAGAGAGTGAGAGCGAGAGAAAGAGAGAGCGCGCAATGATTCATCTGCTTGAGAACGAAAATACCTTTAATATAAAGCAATAAAAAATTCTGAATAGAGTTTATGACTTTTTGCACGATTCTCAGATATTTTAGAAAGGGGACGAATGAAGTAAAACTACGATAACGTGCTTTGTTTATTCAAACAAGTGTGGAAGTGCAACTTCCGTTGCGTTCGCGGCTTCACTTTTTTTTAAGAAATCTTTTCTCTAAGAACTTTTTAATGTGTTTAACGCGAGATTAAAAGATTTATCAGATACTAGCTTTCACATCGACTCCATCCGCGTGAAGTAAAAAAAAAAGCAAAAGTAAGAACCCTATGTGTTCTTCCTGACATCCTCTATATCTATACCATATTTCATAGAAATCTGTTCAGCCCTTTAGGCTACAAACATCTAAACTTTCACATTTATAACATAAATATGTAGTATGATGTAGTAATTACTGTCTTATTATTTCATTACATTAAAACATTTGAAAGTTTTCTAACATTTTCATGCAAGCATTATTTAATAAAAATTAGGCTTAGTTAAATTATCTTATTTACAATACTATTAAGTATTTTTGCTACTATGAATTTCCACTACTAATACAATTATCTGTACATTTTCAAGGAGAATGAAAGGAAAGAAAAGAATAGATGTTTAAACAAGCATTGCGGTAGAAACCCATGTTAATAGTGTCAAAGATCCTAAAAACTTTTTGAATTACTATTAAGTTTAGGCTCGCATAATGGGTAAGATGGACAATTTATACCAGTAATATATGGTTGTATATTATGTTCATACAGCATTACCAAAAACATTGCCAGACAAAGACTAGGCGGCAGCTACTTTTTATATTTTTTAAAGGAGTTTTTATATCTATTTTAAATTTTTTTGGGGTAACTGCCTCCTCTATCTCCCCCGGCAATGTATGAGTAGTATATAGCATAGAAGTGCAAAGGCATATTTTAAGTTATGTATACTCACATGCCTGCACGGAGAGAGCAAGGTCAGAGTCATCTGAAAGAATTATTTTGATATTGATATGCTTTCTACGTGCTACAAGCATGAGTTAGTGATGTGAAATATAGATATTCAACATAGTAACAATAGACAGGACATTAAAAAACCAAATTGTAATACATGACTTGTACTCTTGCTTACTTTGAGATTGTAAGGAAAAGTTTCAAATATCCACTCTATAATCTCTACATTTGAATCTCTAATAGGTTATTGTGGTTAGAAATATTCACACTATTAACACAATACTTAAAAATAAACACCTTGCCTTGTTATTTTTTTTTATATAAAAATGTATCGTATTTATTCACAGGCTCATTTTAAGTCCTATTTTCACAGAAATTTTTCATTAATTATGATAAATAGATAATAAATTTACAAATTATAAGATATCTATTTGTCCGACATAGTTAACAACTTTAGTTCTTTATATTTACAGTATTATTAAGATAATACTCACAGCTAAAGAAATAGCCCCATGTTGGTAATCCAACAGCGATAGCTCCAACGATGAAACAAATAAATCCAAGAACAACCACAGCTATTGAATACAGGACCTTTCCACTTGCCATGGCTGCATGACTTTGCCAAGTTCACGGAATGTTCTAGTCATCAGGATCGAATTAGAATCCTGTGACTGATCAATACTCTGGTACACATCTGAAAAGAATAGAAACATATTTTAAGAAAAATATAATTTTTAACCCTTCTTAGCACAAGCTCGATGCTGAGTTGGAATGGTACAAGGAAAAATTAATAAACCAACAATAATCTGCTAATGTTTTCCTATTTTCTAATACATTCCTGCATTTTATGTTTATTTTACGCTGTAACTTAAACACCCTTGCTTTGAATACTTCTCTTCTATCATTGAATCAATAAAGTGTTTTTGAATACTTTTAGAGTTAAGAGAGAACTAAAGCTGTATTTTTTAACTAAGATTTGACATTTATCATATCAAGCAAGAAAAGAATTTAACCACTTAAAACTTACATTTATTTTGAACTTTGCTTATTGTAATTTTTGGAATTCATTAGATCTTTCCAAATACGCTACCATAGAGCTTAAAAAGAAAATACTTATTAGTAATTAATAAGAAAACGTTTGTACCGGAAAAATAAACTAATTAAACAGTTTGCTCTGATTTAATCTTATTGGAATCAGTTAGGGTATAGATAATCGTATAAGTAGTTAATACTTACGTTTTATTAATTTCGTACCAAGAAATGATCACACGGTGTTCACTCAAGTATGCAAGAAAAGATTGATTTGTGCAAATTCCGATTTATTAACATCACTCTCAGACACGGACAAAAGAATGCAACAAAACACCCGTTTTCACGTGAATGCACAAAAGTACACCCGAGATTCGAAATTCAAACCACTGCGACACACCTCTTACTAAAATATTCGTCTTCACATATATTTCATTTAAATGTTCGTTTATACTTCGTTAAATAGTCGACACAAATAGAATAATAATATAAGAATTATATCACTGGTTTAGTTTTCGAGAAATTCCAAATCTCATGAAAAATTCAATAAAATATCACGATACGTATTAAAGTTTTACCGCGTCTCACCAACCAACCGACCGAGTGTGGTCAGTAAATAAACTGGTTTTTTGATTGACTACACTCGATCTCACGTTGCGTTCCGCTAGCGCCAGAGTATATAAAATGGCTAAAATAAAAAAATTGCAATAAGTTTGCCGTTTAAAAAATTAATATTTATATACCTAGAAATTATTCTTAAAAGATTACTTATTTAAGTGCTACGGAAACAAAAGAAGGTATTTTGATTGTACTCGTATACATTAACAAATATGAATGCAACACCGTGAATCTTCAAAATTAACAGTATAAAACTGGATTATATTAATAATTTAATTAAAAATAAAGCACGAATTCTATTAAAATTGAGTATATTCTAAAAATAAAATAAATCTTTCGTTTATTTCAGGTGCTTTCAATTTCCTTTTACATTTTTACTTTGCGTTCCGTTTCACTTCCCAATCATCATAACAATTTACCATATAAAGTTAAAAAGTTAGAAGGCTCTCCCAAAAACTAATTTGAAATTTTGTTCAGTACTTTTTTTACTTCATATTTTTACGAGCAGTTTTAACTAATTTAAATAATCCCTATTCATACTTTTGATTTATCGCAATAAGTGTCAGATTGTAACTCAGAATTTTATTTTATTTTCCACGACCATTTTTTTAAAATAATATTAAAGATTAACTGTGTAATTTACTGTATGACTTTTGTAATTTGCGGTATTTTAGAAGATTTAATAGATTACGTTTCGTAGATCATAGTTTCTATTATTGGCTCGAGGTCATACTATTTTAGTATCTCGCTTGCACAAATGGGCCTTTAGTAGTTAGTTTACAATCCAATAGAATAATGTGTTTGAATTACATACAATTTGCCAGTTAATTAAAAATAATTTTTGTATTAAATTTACGAATCTTGGTCTATCAATAAATAGAAAACTTTGATTTAATCGGAATAACACGTTACAATGTTTTTGAAAAACAGATTTTTAATCTTTACCATTTTGATAATATTCAATACCTGTGAGTACATTATTATATTAAGTATTTTAGTTAATATTTTATGAGACCTCGTTTTTTAGAAATACTTATTTCTATTTCTCTTTTCTTAGATGATGAATCGAGTGCTGAAAGTGAGGTATACATTTTTAAGTTTTTAAATATAACTGATAAGAAAACATGTAGCGAATAAGTCAAAGGAAATTAATCGTTTAAATTATTTTTATTACATTTATTACAGGCAGTTACAGCAGCCTGTAACGAACTAGGTGATTGTATCGCACAAAGCCATCAATGTAACAATACTATGTGAGTAAGATTTAAAAAATATGTTATAATCGTGTTCTTTGAGATATATGACTACTCGTATATTGGAACAGATTTGGAAGACTTTAAAATTTCTATTCGGATAATTGCGAATATACGAAGTATATAAAATTGAAGCTGTTTTTCCAGTAACTAAAAATTATTTTTAAATAAATAAAAATAATTTTTTCCAGTGGTTTCTTCTATAATGACACAACTCATGACTGCGTAGTAAATATCAAGCTACTGTTACAAACTTTGACTGCAAAGTATGATACTCAAGGTAACCCTACACTTCATAAACTGGCATTAGTATTTCGAAAAAAAAAAAGAAGTTTTATAAATTTACTTATATGAATAGCTTACCTTAATGCCTTTAAACATAACTGCCTTTTTGTGTTGTCAGAGTCGAAAACGGTAAAAAGTTATTTTCTCCCTCTGTCTCTCTGGCCCGCTAAACTGAAACAATATTTTAGTGTTAATGTTTGGACAGGGCGAACTAAAGATTCAACATTTTAGAAAAAAACAGACGTAAAAAGCAAATTTACGCGCATAGCAATTTTCATTATTTTCTCTTTTCAGATAAAATGCGTTTAGAGGTCCTTCAAGTGTTTCAAGGCGTGATAGTATCTGTGATTTTGTTTGTTACTTGTTCAAGTATATGTGTACTGGGTGCTTGCATTTACTGTTGTCGCATCAATTACATGTACGTTCTTCTATTACATTTTATAAAAATTAATATTTACAATATTTTGTAACATTCAGTCTATTGATTTAATTATAATTATCTAATATTTCAGTGACTACCGTCTAAAAAAAGACGTTGAAGCGTTGGCTGCGAAATTAAAAAGAGATTGCAATTTAAAAAGAAAAACAATTAAAAAACCCACTCAACCAGTTTCAGAAAGCTGCAATATTGTAGTGGAAAGTGCAGGTGTTTACGTTGTTTAAATAAAAAATGAGTGTTTCTGAAATTGTAAATCGAATTATACGTTATTTCTTTAGCTTGTTTATTTTATACTATACCTCGCAATACCATATCGGTCATACGTATTTTTATGCAAACACCAAAATTTTACATATTTTACGCTGTTGGTCTTTTTTTAAAAAATAAATATTCCAATCCCTGTACCGGGTCACGATTAAACTAGATTTTTTCTTTGTTAAATCAAATGCTGGCAACTGTCATTGCAACTGGCAACATTAAGTTCAAAACGTCATTAAAAATAAATCGAAGCGCATCTTCGTTTTTTAAACGTTTAATTTATTATCAAATAAAATAAACACAGTGCTGTTATTAGTTATAGCAGAACAATGAAAATGTTAACTTAATTAATCAGACATGCAAGTTATTGAAATACTACATCTCAATTAATAAGTAAGTACCAATTAACTTTTTATTTATTCGCAGCTTTTAAAAATATTTAATAGCGTAAACTTAAAAATTAAACTTAGAAAATTGTACATGTAATGGTTTTAGTTAAGAAGTATGTACAATTAATTTAAAAATTAAATGTGGTATAGCTGGACAAATCAATTACAAAAGATAATTTAAAACGAGAGTTAATTGCGAACTTTTTTTTTTATTTGTGTTTGTTTTGTTCTTTCAGATTATCCAGAATGGTGAATGATTACCTTCGGCTGGTGGACTATGGTGCTTTATTCACATTTCTGATATTTATATCTCTGTCAATAGGATGCTGCACATGGTGTTACTGCATAAGAGCCCAGTAAGTAAAACATAATGGAGAAAAATATCAGTAGTTAACAAGAATTAAATGTTATTACATGAATGGATGAAAGGCAGACTAAGCTTAGTTTAGATTTTATATCCACAGAAAAGACTTATTTCCAGTATTACTTGGAAATTTCTTCTTTTTCATGCCATCTTTATTAATTCCATACTTGATTTTTTATAACATTATCCTATAGCTTTAATTATTGATATCAACTTCATTTCTAACAGTGGTAGTGCCCGCTTTAACATCTTAGCACGAATGGGCCGGCACGCCCGGTATCCTCTTTATGTGCGTCTACTCCTCCGTCGTATAAGGGTAGGCAACGCATCTGCAATTGCGAATGTCTATGGGCAGCGGTCGCTTCGCCATTTTGGCGGATTCAGGTGGCCGCTTGCTTGTTTGGAACCTTATGTTATAAAAAAAAAAATTAACTCAAACATTCTGCAAAATAACATTTTAATATAAATATTGTTTACTTATCTATACTTCTGTTTTTCCAAATTAATTAAAACTACACTTAAATTAAAGGAATATGTAATCAATACAATAACTTGCACTGTTCTCTTTTCCAGTGACAAAGCAATAGAGCATTATGTGACAAATTTGGCAAAGAAGAATGGAATACAAGTGGAACCTTACACAATACAAACAGAGCCTTGTTGCCGATCACCTCATGCTAATGAGAACTGTTCCATTTTTGTGCCAGATGTAGGTATTATACTGTAAACCCTTATTATCTTTACAATTTTTATACAAATGTGAATAAAATGACAACACACATGCATCAGCTAACTAGCTGCTAGCGTGTCACCCAAAATAATAATAATTAGACCATGCGGATACAGCAGCAATAAATTTGTGATTAACTTTACCCTTAAGTCTTAACTTTAATACACAAGCACTTTTGACGCTCGCCATTCATCGTAGTAGTAGTAGGGGTTACAGTTTCCACAACTCCATGGCTAGCGCGTATTTTGCGTGAGGAACATGACGTGGATTATTCCAGCCAACTTAACTATCCGAAAAACCCCAGCAAACCCTTTATGTTGCTGGTGATCTCCGGGAGCGATCTTAGCAAACCGAGATACCTAACCCTGTATTCACTGGGCAGTGTTATATGACATGTGATGCGGGTTCTTCCTCCACCATACATGTTCTGCATAATGTACTGTTTCACACCTATGTTGTACAGGTGTTTGTTGAAGTGCAGTGACCAGTGATTCCATTCACCATTCATCTTACATAATAAAGAATTATGTATTTACGATTTATGAAAGGTTTATCGGCACAAAGTCTGTAGAGACTAATACAAGAAAATTGTGACATTCAATGTCTTGAATATTCTTTTTCCTTGTCATGTAAGATGTGAGGAATATACCCATTATATACCTTTTTAATTAAACCATTGCTATGTGTTTTAAATGTTTGTCCAATCAAAATAAGGTCCATTTAAAATTGTGTTCAGTAATGAAAATGCATAGATGTGTTCGAATATTATTTTCAACCCCTTTTATATTTTCCAGAAAAGTTTTACTATAATTTTATATTAGTATAAGTCTATTTCAATTCAATTTTTATACTATGTACATATTTATTTAGTAATCTCATAACTTTTTAACATTTAATATGTAGTTAATATTATTGGAAATAAATGTCATGTCTATGGATTTACTTTGAAAAGTCTGTTTATACTTAGTCTGTGGTAATCACAGACTTATTAAAAACAGAGGTCTTTTAAAGATATTTTTTTTACGATGCACAAGTCGGCACTAGAAAGCATTGATATAATTTTTTATTTCCATTAAACTATACACCTTTGACTAAACTATCGCACAACTGTTTAGTCTCGCTTTGATTCCTATGAGTTTATATGGAGGTGTGCACACTACTCGATTTTTAGTTGAAAAAACAGTTGCATGGGCTGCGAAACAATCGACAATCGCACAATAGTTGTGCGATAGTTTAGTTAAAAATGTGCGCCCGCTCTTTATGTATGGAATACTGTCTATTCAATTTAGATTTAAGCTAAAGTACAGTAGAACCTCAATAACTCAAACCTCGGTAACTTAAAAACCCCTATAACTCCAAAAAATGACGTGTTCCCTTCCTATCAGAGCCCAAAACCTCTATAACATAGGCCCTTGATAACTTAAAATATTCTGTGTTTCCCTTGGACTTTAACTTATCGAGGTTTTACTGTTCTTTTTAATTTGATCTTGTACAGTAATGTTAATTATATTTTTCTATCCAAAATAATTCAAAGCTATTTTTAGACATCTATGTAGTAACAAAAAAGTTTCTATTCTCAAAGTATTACATCTCCAAAAACATTTATAAAATAAAGTTTTTAGTGTTACTATTGGATAAACTTATTGTCATTAGATTTAAATTCTTAACGATGTTCCTATTTCATGCAATTTATAATTAAATTAATATTGAATGATATTCTAAAGGTCTAAATGTAGTTTTATAATCTATTAGTGTCTTAGCAAAACAATATTTGCAGCCTTAATATGTATATTCTACTTTTGTATATCGATATTTTCATACTACTAGTTAACATATAGGATTTTCTCGAATATTCTTCTATTGACTGTATGTTACTGACCGATTGTGAAATATGTCATTTTAAAATTGGACTAAACTTGTCATGTCTAATTCAGAATTTATCCATACATGTTGTACACAAACTTTTTATATATAAAATTTAGTTTTTATATTTCTGCTTGGTAAATGATTAATTATAACTCTCTTCACATTTGCTAGATTTTAAATTCTCTATGTTTCTAAGTTTCTTTTGTAATATTGTGTGATTCTTTGTTTTAATAACTAATTGTAAGTTGGAATGTTCAATAGGTTCAGTATTTTATGTTAGTTAAAAAAATTATGTTACACATTGATTCAAATGTATGACACAAGTTCAGGTTGGTTTTTAATACATTTACTTCAGTTTGATTAAATTGGAGGATTTCTCAAATTATCGGTATCATGTGTACTTCTCTGTTTTGTCAACCTATAGCATTTTATAGTGTAACTTTTGTGCCTAATAAAAAACGTCTCACAAAAACTTAGGAATAATCATACTATCTTATATCTTGTATATTAGCAAGTTCAAAATGATATCTACTTGCTAAGATATTTTAATAATGTATATAATATTTCTACTTGTTATAAAATACACTCTATTTTAAAGAATATTTGTGTGCCAAAAGTATATTATTGAAGATAAAAGTAAATAACCACCTTTTAGCATTTTTCTGTACTAATTAAATACTGTTTTGGAATTTCTACTCTTTACTTGCATTGACTATGATCAGCTAAGATTAGTACAGTACTTTGAACAAATACAATATGGCGGCCACTACAAAATTTCAATGAAACATTTTTACTTTCAACTGAATATGGATATAAGATGAATAAATTATATATTACAACAGGCAATATGTATATAACGCCAAATTTGTACCAAACTTTTTTAAAGTATACTTTATTACTATAAAAACATTCCTGCAAAGATTATTTTAAATATAATTTGATTTAGTGACAAAACTAAATAATTAAAAAGTGTCTTTTTTAAAATTCCCTCTCTTAGTTCTAAAACGCACACTATTGGTCGAAGCAAGTGGCTTATCTAATATGGCGTCGCTATGTTGTCAATACACAGTTCATTTACGTTAGTTTATACAAAAATACACTCTTGAAGTATTTTACTGTAAACACGATATCAAAACCAACTTTAAAATTAAAGAAATATGAATAGAATTATTATTTACCACTTATTTGTACCAGGAATAATAAAAATGAATCGATTTTTTACTTTTTGATCTTGAGAAGCAATGAGATACTTTGTTATTTTTTACATCGAAGTGACATCGGAGCATATGTTATGAATGGAATATGTTGATTGACGTCACGTGTCGTTGTTTGATCATTGATCGTAATTTTATTTTATTATTTTTTAGCTCAATGGTTGAATATTTTCGCGTCAATTTTTTTTCTGGTTATTTTATAACAAGTAGAATCGGTTAAAGAAAGAAAATACATGCATATTCCCTATTATATGACCTGCCATATATGCCTTATGATCTCAATATTTTGAAATGACAAATGATTTTATAGTGTCAACATATTTCTCAACTCAACTGTGTTTTATGAATTCTTTAGTATACCCTATATTTACCAGTCAATAGGAGTAGCGCACAAATAATACACATTAAAGGTTTTAAATATCAAACTTTATTTTATTGCCACCACAAACACCTGTTGTAACATTGTTGGTGAACATCTACTGGTGACCAACTGCGTAAAGCAGTATGTGTATGTCTACCCTTAGGTGTAACATCTCAAATGCAAGGGTGTCTGAGAAATTATTAGGCAAATCTTTCGCCTGATTGTCCAACATTCAAAATCCTTTGCCCAAGTGTTTGATTCAATAAAAAGTTTTTAAGGTAATCCTAACAACATTTGTGGTTCTTTTTCTACAACAGTCACTGAGCCTATGCACATTAGGATCTTAGATTGTAAGTGGCGGTTTGATTGATATAGCAAACTCGAGGATGAACTTGACTCTGGTTTATATTCTGAGGATGGGGATATAACACTTGTGACAGGACCATCATCAGCAGGATTGTTTACAGAGAGTTTTCTTTTTTTAGATAACCAATTAGATTTTAAGAGTGATCTTGATGAATTTTTTCTTTTATAGTTTTTTATTGGTAATAGTAATGGAGACGTAGCTCTGTCATGTTTCTTTGGTATTAAATTAACGTTGACACCTATGCTTCTACATTGAACTTTACAATCAACTTGCACTGCCTTATTAATCCGCAATACACTTTTACTTTGTCTATTAGATATGTTAGTAGTAGCTTGTCTGTCATTTTCACTAAAATTGTTTAGTTCTAAATCCTTGGATGGTGCTGAGGTTGAAATAAGATCTGGTTCTGGTAAATAAACTACAGATATTGGTGCGCTGGGACCTGGTATTGGTGGACTAGTTAGGGCTAGTGGGTCTTCCATCGGTGCTAGTCTTTGCAAATTCAAACCAGCTGTCCCCTCCGGAGGTAGCTTCTGTTTTTCTTTTTGCTGACACTGGAATTTGTATGGTATTATATCTTTTTTTAATCGTAGTGTTACTTTCTTCCCATGCTGTAAGGTCATTAATTTATACTGTATATAATTTTCTGTATCTTGTTCAACCTAAAACCAAGGAATTAAGGGTAAATAGAAATATTCTCGAATATTTTTCTGTACTCTGATTATGACAGAGATATCTATATTAATATTATAAAGAGAAAAGATTTGTGTTTTTCTCTATATTGGAATAACTCAAAAACTACTGGGTTGATTTCAAAAATTCTTTCACCCTTAAAAAGCTATTTTATTACTGAGTAACATAGGCTACATATGGTTTTTATTTCGCATGGGTGTCATCACAAACAACAGCTATTAAATATATTTTCAAACTTTTGATAAACTATGTTATGCTTTTGTCACGGTTTGTAAACAAAACAAAGTACCTATTTGGCAGTAAACTAAGGATTAAATTACATAATAGGTTTTATCTGCGATTTCCTACATGTTTAATTAGAAATAAAAGTAAGTAGCCTATATGTCCATCCAGAATATCCTTTACATTATGTCCATAAGGTTGCGGTCAGCAGTTAAGACTACCAACTCTAACAAACATCCATCCTGTCATCTAAACTTCGTATTTATAATATTAGTAAGAAGTAAGATTATGTTTTTTATAATGTCTACTTACGTTAAAATGATCTTCACAACAGTATAAAGAGCTCAAACTCGACACATAGATTTTCTTCATCGCCTTGAACCACTTTTTCCTTATATCTGCATTTTTCGGGACATAAAAATAAATTTTTTCAGGGGCAGTTTCCATTCTACTTTTGCACATAGGAACGATACAATATTTGGACCACGTTTTTTTAACATCTTCCATGCCTATGACTATAGTAAGATTGTATCACTCCTGTAACTTTTAATAATTTTTAGTACTAAGCAATTGCTAAGCAAACTAAACTTTGTTGTTGTTAACATTGACATTTGACATAAATGATAGGTGTCAATGAGCGGAAACGGATATGGTATAGACCTACAAGGAAGAAGTACTACTAGAACAGGAATGCGTTCTATCTGTATATCTTGCAGTTAAAATAAAGAAAATGAAAACTTATGCTAAAGGCACAACAGTCTTGCTGCACGCAAAATGAAATTTAAACCGAGTGAGAGGGCTACAAGATTCAGCTATGTTCTTTTCTAACAGTGACTTATAGCTGCCAAATATCGTTTCGTTGTTTGTAGAAAAATAGGCAACTGATGTAATGTAATGTGTAAAAATGATTACCTTTAAAATGTTTCTAAATGTTAATATTAATGTGTTACCCACATTTTGAAGCAATTTTATTTGTTGCTACAGATAAACCTTATTAACACAAAAGTTTTGCGATTGGCGTACAGGTTTTCTTTGAAATTCGGACACCTGAACTGACAACCCTATATGACATCCCAATTCGGACGTTAATGGCAGAGTCTTTTTCGTCTATCCTGATATTTTTGACAGAAGATTTTTTTACAGGTAATGGTTTTAGACATAATTTTACTGGTGAAGAATTACCGTGACCATGCATGATTATCCAATCCTAGTTCAAGAACAAATAGCTGAAACACTTATGCATTTATTTCTTCCTTTCTCTATTAAAATAACTTTGTTTTAATTTCAGATTTAAGATATAAACAATAAGCTGCGTTTGTTTCATAAACTTTACAAAACTTTTATTTAGTAAAATCTGATTTAGAAGTATGTGTTTTTATTATTATTTAAAAAAATACATTATTGATAACACTAATATGTTAAAATCCGCCGAACTCAGGCAACAAAATCTGTAAGCAATTTGTGTAAATCGATGTACGACTTTCGCAGTCACATAAGACTTCAAGCTAATAAAAAAGCGGTGTGCTAGAAATCTTGCACAGGACGCTAGTTTAGCTTAAACAAGTACTGTAGTTTTAGACAACTTATTCAATTTATACTGTCGGTTTAAACTCAGAGCAACACTTCTCGACAGGACTCTGGATGCGCGCCAATCTTTAAATACTTCTAGTGACATTGACAGCTGTCAGCTAGGGACGTGACGTTTATGCCGATAATCTAGAGTTGCGCCAATTCTATAGCACGGTACTAATTTTGTTCCTAACAGTAGTCAGATATTGTTGGTAATGATTACTTTATTACTTGATATCAATGACAGATGAAGACGGAAAATAGATGTGAAATGTGACCAGAAGCGTTGGGCACAAGATAAACTACTTATTCGATACAGACGATATGATATGGCCATATTTGATGGTAAACTATAGGTATGTTTACGCGGCCCTATTGTACAGGGTTAATGCGGTTAACCGGGCTTATTTTTATTTACCAAAGGATAGTTTTGATTCTCCCTCTAGTTCGGTCATTCAGCATAGCTGACGCCAATGTACTTTGTCAGAATTTGACTCGATTGACAGATCGACCGCGACCAGGCACTTGCACCTGAACATCCAGTTGGTAATTACCACTTCTTTATTCTTTGTTTACAATGATATGTTCCCGGTGCATGCGTAATCAGGTTAGGTTGTGACGTGGAACCCGTGTTGTACAGCCCACTACTCGACCCCTAGAACGCTTTAGTACTTTTCCACGTGTCCTCAATATTCTATTTAATTAAAAAGCTTTGTATTGTATTCAGGGATTATTTCATGCAACACTAATTAATCCCCCCGTCACGTGCCGGCAAATATCAATGCATAACGAATATTTAACTCTTAATTCTTTGATAATGAACACGGATATACATACAGAGATTTTTTAAATGAAACGTTCAAAGAGGATTGAGAGGTGGATAATGACGAGAATGCAGTTAAATTCTGAACAAAAGTAGAGGTGGAAAATTTTAACATAATGTGAAATGTTTGTAGAAAATTTGATTTTAAAATTACCTTAAAAGTGTCTTATAATTGAATTACCGTTCGTCCGCGACTCCGTCCGCGTGGAATTAAAAAAAAATTAAGTAGCCTATGTGTTCTTCCAGACTATATACTCTACATCTATGCCAAATTTCATCGAGATCCGTTCAGCCATTCAGGCTACAAACTCTAACAAACATCCTTCCATCCATCCATCTAAACTTTCGCATTTATAATATTACTAAGATTTGCCTAGTTTAAGTTTCATCTGATGAGTGTGTGTACTTTACGTGCGTCTTCTTCTCCATTGGATAAGGGTAGGCAACGCATCTGTAATTGCGGATGTCTATGGGCAGAGGCCGCTTCGCCATTTTGGCTGATTTAGGTGGCCGCTTGCTCGTTTGGTTTTAAGGCTATAAAAAAAAAGTTAACATACGAGCATATTCATTTTGAAGACAACGAAAACTTTTCTGTCTTCGTTACTTTGAGTCTGTTTTATCTTTAAACAAACTTACTTTAAATAAAGCAATGAAATAGCGTTGGTACGTTTGCTTTAATTAAGACGACGTACGATTTCCAATCTCCGTTCCCACGAGAACATTTTCATTAGTTACAAAGCGTTCCTACTATTAGATGAGCTTTGAATCTCAACATCCCGTTTTTGAAGTTACTGTCTAATGAATGTGTTATGTAATAAATTTTGTTGAAAATATGTAACAAAGGTAAATGATATATAATTTAATTTGTATATAAACATTGAGCGTCGGTGGCTCAGTGGTTTAAGCACTTGACTTGTAATCCACAGGTCTTGGGTTCGAAACCCGCCGTACCAATGTGATTTTCGAAATTTCATATGTACATAATTTACCCGACGTTCTTACGGTGAAGGAAGACATCGTGATGCGACCTGCACATATCGGCGAAGAAATTCAAAGATATGTGTGAAGTCAACCAACCCGCACTCTTGGCCAGCGTGGTTGACTATGGCCTAGTCACCCCTTACTTGAGGGTGGGCTCGGAGCCCCTCGTTGGGGACTTATAATGAGCTGGTGATGATAACGATGATTGTATATAAAAGAATCGATCTACGATAAAAGTGTTTGTTTAAACAAAAATGTCATTATTTACTTAAAATACGGACCTAACGATGTTGTTATGTTAGAGTTTCCCTTAGTGACCAATTAAGGATTCTACATCTCTAAGTACCAATAAAACATCCAATTTAGATTAGATTGCAATTTAATCAGTTAGTCAACATTATAGCCAATGAAAGCCGATAGTAAAATTACCAAGTTCTACGGAGCGTGAAATGGTCCGACTTGTTTGAGGTTATATGTTTAATTGCCAACATTTCTGGAGGATTTACTTTTAAAGATATTAAATATATATTTCTTATCGAAATCCGTTTAGCTTTTTAGGCTACAAACTCTAACAAACATCCTTCCATCCATCCATCTAAACTTTCGCATTTATAATATTAGTTTGATTCTTAAACATTTCCCACATTACGAACTAGTATTTTTAGACATATAAAACATATCTAAGTTCCTCCCTTATGCTAATGTGTAACTGTTTTTTTTGTACTAGCTGTTGCTCGCGACTTCGTTCGCGTGAAATAAAAAAAAATATGTCGCCTATGTTACTCATTGATAAACTAGCTTTTTAATAGTGAAAGATTTTTTTAAATCGGCTCAGTAGATTTTGAGTTATTTCAATACATACATATTTTTTTTTTTAATCTATACTATTATAATAAAACGTAAACACACACTTTTTTTGTTGCCAAAGATGTCAGCAATTACAGCATATTTTTTTATAATTTTTTTTAAGAGAAAGCCCTACACTTACGTCACGCTTTAGGCTATATAATTTCACGCCGTTAAACTTAGGGGTAAACATTTCGGATAAAAACCTTAATGTGGGAAAGAGATCATAAGTTGCTGCCAATATCAAGGAATCAAGATTGCCAACGTTTGTTTTGTCATGTCATTTTGACATTTGCTATTGATAATTTCACATATGTAAAAAATAAAATATATTTTTCATAATTTCATGCGGATGAAGCCGCACGGGAACAGCTAGTACTAGTATAAATATTAGTAATGTAAGATGTTTAAAACTACATACATGCGGTCTATTAGTGAAAACAGTGTAAACACGTTGGAATAATGTTTAGTTTGCAAGTTGCAGCATCTCTCCGATCTTAACATAACTTTACAGTGGAGTGTAAATTTCAAGTTGATTTACTATTCCCAAGTCGAGTTTTAATTAGTTTTGAAAATAAATTATAAAAGAGAAACTTATTCAAGAAATTTCTTGGTAAGTTTCCGAATAAACAGATGTTGGAATTGTCTGGAATATTTTATTATATAGTTTAATAAGAAAATACAAACAATACTTAGAATATCATCTATACATATAATAAAATTGGCGTGTCTGTTTGTAATATCAAAAGAAAAAATTCAGATTTCGGGAAGATGATCTATTTGCGTTGCTGACAAAAAAATCGCATTTAAAAATATCTGTCTTTCTGTCTGTCCGCAAAACGGGTTTGTTCCAGGTGGGACTCTCACTGGAAGGCAACTTACATGGACGGGCATATTATAGGTTAATTTTTATCTTAACATTGCGTGGACGAGGTCGCGAGGTACAATTCGTGTTAAATAATTTTGTAGAACTGTTTCTGCAGTGGAAATCCACAGTTAAGTTGACATCTAAGTGTTATCTTGCGAAGATATCGAACCCTTTAAATTATCGATTCCGAATCCGGTTCCGATGGGACGATTAATTTGACGTGAAGCTGTGGCCGGCAAGGGTTACACTAATTACTTAAGATAAATTACGGTACGATCACGATTCCTATCAAGTTTGCTCCGATTTAGGTTACGTTTCACAATACTCAAGTTAATATTTGAGTAATACAATATTGTAATTTGATAATTTTAAAATTAAATTTGACTTAAACATTTAAGAAAATTAGTTAAAAACCAGAAAGAGATGGATGGATTGCGTGAAAAGTGACATGATCAAGAAGGGAGTGATGATAGAGTGCTTTGGAGGACGAAAACCCGGTGCGCCGACCCTACGGGAGTAGGATAAGGCAGGGGAGATGATGATGATGATGATGAGTTC